TGTGCACGTCAAAGATATGGGCTGTACAAGGACACTGTTTACTGCTGATTATAAATCAACCAAAAGGGTCTTTATTTGCACATACGTGTTGTTATTCTCACAGTTACTGAATGTTAAAGGATTAGATTTTATTTTAATGTGATTCTTTTCTTTTACATTGTGTGGAACCTCCAGCATCAGGGCTACTGGGGATACTGGAAATTATGGTCCCATGTGGGTAAAACAGATGATGAAGCAGAGTTTTCACCTTTTATATCCAGTCTGTGGACGGATGTACGATCTGTTATGAAGACACTAGTTCAAGTAAAAAGAGAAGAAACATGTTGAGAATTTAAACTTTGTCGTTTTCACTTCAATTTACCAACATTTTCTTATTCAATGCTTTCAAAGAAGTGCAATATTTGAGTTTGTCAGTTTTTATATTTAGGAGAATTAATGAATGGACACTGAATCTAATCTGTGTGGTGAAGAAATCTTTATCCAATCTGAAAGTCTTGCCAGAGAATTGGGAATGTGTGTCCCCTTGAAAAAAATAAAACTAAATAAAGAAGTGCCTGCGTTTAAACTAGACACCTTTATGAGTATTTGTGCTGCCGTGTTCTGCAAACCCCCCAAAAAATGAAAAGGAATTTGGAAAAGTGGCAGGAGAAACCGACGAGGAACTAGCAAACCTATAAATCAAGAAATGGGGACGCCTGCATCCTGTCCTCCAACACTGACCCAGTAAAGCACTTTTTGCTACCTCAGATAAAATAAAGGTCATAAACCGGCTGTAAACTGGAACTAAAAATCTGGGTTAAGGAACTCCATCCGCACCCACAACAAACAATAAAAGAAAAACTATCCTCAATGTGAGCGGCGTGCACTTATAAAACCAAGTCAGCGTGTTTTGAAAGTGATACTATGCCTGGTTTCCCATCTGTTTCTGTCTCAGTGTGTGGTTAGTAGCGCTCAGGGCTTTACGTACTTTTTTTTTTCTCTCTCACGTATGACATCATATGTACAGTACAGTTTTGGCAAGTATTTAGCTACGCTTACTGTAAATGTCAAAGGGACAGTAAAAACATAGTATTATAGGGTGATGACGAAACAGCAGCAACAAGAATAAAGACAGTCAGCAGCTCTTATATTTAAATAAAACACCGTCAATGTTTCAGGTTAAAGCTTTGCTTCTCTCCGAGGCATTTATAGTGAAGTTATTTGATATTTTCAATATTCTACAAATACTAGAACCTTTATTAATTATTCTTATTGACTCATCGCAACAAAAAACAGACACAAACCTGTCTGTTATATTTAGAAAAAAAACACACTCCCATGACAGAACATGACTCAGTAGCCCCCCACATCACAGCTTGCACATAGAAGCTCCTATGTTGTGTATTTACTGAGTGTTTTATTTTATTTATTGAGAAAACGAGTGGCATTAGAGATGCAAAGAGGAAGATCAACACTGATTAATTGATGTTTCTCGACTGCCTTATCTGTGTTGTGTTTTTATTCTTACATTTACAGTTCTAGTTTCATTCAGCAGAAGCTTTTATCCAAAGCGACGTACATCTGAGAGCAGATGCAACACAAGCAGGGATCTAGTCAGAAGAAAACAATCCAGATAAGTGATGCCAACAGCAGGCTGTGTGGGAGGTAAGAGGAATTTAGTTTGTTTGTTTTTTTGTTTGTTTTCGGGCTGTCAAGTGTAAAGGTGTTCAGTGAAGAGCTGGTCGTCAGTCTTTTCTTGAAGACTGAGAGGTTTGGCAACTCGTTCCACCACCGGGGAACCACAGAGGAGGAGAGTCCAGCTATGGACCTGTTGTGGTGGTTGGATCAGGAGGTTTTTGTTGGTCGAGCGTAGTGAGCAGAGGGAGTGTAGACCTGAAAAAGATTTTCATGTGTCCTTTGTGTAGTACAGACTCTTTGTGGTTGAAATTCCACATGTGCTGCTTCTAATATTCTCTGTAAGTCATATTTATATCCATGGACATCAAGTCGAGCTGCATTTCTCGGGCTCTTCTCAGTGGATGCATTACGGTTTTATGTGAAGTCAGGTTTTATTCTTTATCTTTCACTCTCAGAAACCAGAGACCACAGGAGGGTGAAGAAGAAACACAAGCACACTGATGTAACTCTGGGAAATTACAGTCGGCTTCATCAGTGGACACGCTGAAAGAATTCTTTGTTCTGAGTTTGAGAGACGAGGGAAGGCTGGTTTCCTTTAAGAGGAAAAAACTTCATATGCATTTGTCCACTTTTGATATTAACTTGTTTTTATAACAAGAATATTTATGTGAATGAAATGGACATTGATAGAAATATAGAGTGTGTGTGTTCTCCTTTGGCTTTCTCTCAAACTATTTTAGATTAAAAGTAGTTTTATATTTTGTTGAGCAGTTTAGTCGGTACAAATGCACCATGTTTTATACAGAATCAGATTCCATCCTTAAGTGCATGATAAATAAATTATAAATAATAAAATAGCAAAAATAAAATAACATAAAAACTAAACTAAACAAAAACATGTCAGACTATCAAGATAAAATATTCATAAAACCCATTAAACAGTCATTATATGTCCTGTTTCTACATTTG